GATTGGCTGATTAGAGTGTGTCAATTATAAATAGGAGGACATGCACATTGTGCTGACACCACCACGTCTAGTGTACATATGCTCAGTTGAAAGAAAATTATGATTTTCACTAATTGTTTAGACCTAAAATGTAAAAAACAAACAAATTGCACACAATTGAATTTCATTGTATTGTCCTCTTATTGACAAAATCTTGATGTCATAAAATGTTTAAAACTCAAGTGGACCCACAAGCGCAGTAAGTGTGTGTTAACTTAATAAAAACATGCAACTCAAAATCACAACTCAAATAAAACCGTGCATGTTTTGTTAATATATATATTTTCTCTTTCATTAGATTTACATGTTAAATCTCAAAACCTTGGTGTGGAAAGATGTCACATCTACTGTCAATGGGAAAACACCTCTGCCATCTTCTCGCGATAAATTATGCTGCTGGCAACATGATGACCTGTAAGTAGTATTCATTGAAACTTCTAATAATTTCTTGTCATGAAAACATTCTCACTTCTTAAAGCATATATCTTGTTAAATACTATTCTTGGTCCTTCTGCTTTTCCCATATGTACCAAATAGACCTAATCGGAGCTAACTCGTTGCTACATTACCAACCAATTCAAATCCTGTGGGAAAAAGAACTTTTTCTAAGAATTCAACTGTGAAACAAAAATACAATGAACAAGGAAACTTACTCCCGGTTGGTTTGCTAACATTTTAGCCGATTAGGTCTATTAATAATATTTTGATCCACAATTTTGTGCTTGTGATGCAAGCCCCTGCTTGCATGGACAAAACAGYGTCACAGGGATCCCATAAAGATATGATAAATACATGTAGTTGCCAATAAGATACAAGATAGAGTTTTTCGTTATAGAGATCTGTTTCATTGATTTTRCAGTCTGAGCAAATACTGATTTGTTTGATTTGTGGTTTTTTTAGGATAATATATTTTGGAGGRTATGGTTTACCACCAAATTCCTATGAACAAGGTTCACATAGCTACGGAGAATTTGTTTATAATACAGTTGATCATTTTGGTGTAAGTTATCCATCTTTTTCCTTATGTTCATCAATTTGTYTGGTTTTCCCTTATTTTCTGCTTCCATTTAGTCATGAATTATTATTGTTATCCATCCATTTCCATTTTTTCTTTCTTTCKTGTGTTCACTCTTTCATTCCTGCACRAAATTTYTCATCTATTCACATCTTGTCCACATTAATTCATTCTTGATACGTTCKTTCGTTTGTCGTTGATTCGTGGATCCATTCTTTCTCSTTTTCATTTATCTATCCATCCATTTAGTCAAMCATTCAGCTCAGTTTGTAGTGGATCGGCCACGTSTWGGAAGTCAGACAGGTTTCCGTTCCAGGACAGACCATTACGCAAGGTCTTACAATAATGGAGGAAATGTTGCTGCCTTTGTTTCAATCTCTGACTGCAAATGGTCATACAATCACGTCTTCTCTTATAAGAACGTAACTTACACTAAATCCGAGGGACCGCCAAGGACGTAATCAACCCTGACTACGCTCAGTGAACTCGTCACTCTAAATCTCTCTGTCTTTGGGTCCTCGSCGTTGATCGTCCCTGGCCGAAAAGGCAAAAGTAAAATAGAATAAAAAATAAATCTTTTCATTTTTAAATATGCATCATCCTGAAACTAGTGTGATCATTCCAGGACAACCGAGGATGGAATAACAATATATTCATTCTAGATACTGTAAACAACAAGTGGATYCAAAAGGATATCAAGGTACAGTATTTCTGAACAAAGAAATGGCAGCTGCGACATGAGTAGCGTTTTCCTTTTACTGGTGACCGTGCTTATATTAGAGTSCAAAAGCATGACTTGCTGGTCATTTCAAATAAAAGAACATCATAAAGGAACACGTGCATGCAAAGTTTTTTCGATATATATATATTTTTTTTTCAAATGTTAATGTTGATAAAAGCTGGATTCTGTAAAGATGGCTATTTTTTATATGCTAGTACTGGTAAAATGAAGTATCGAGAGTCCTTGTCGGATCTCATTAGGGGTACAAATTCGTTATAGACCCCTTGCATGTGACGTCAAAGCAGCTTCATCTGGAGGGCAAAACAAAAGATTTTTATCCTCTTGGGAACTAGAATCCATTGTTTTGTCCTCCAGTTGGAGCTGCATTCCCATGAACTGCAAGGGGTCTATTGGGTCTCTTTTAGGCTGCCAATTTGGAGTTTCTGGAAATTTGAAAAGGAARGGCGCATCGATATTTCTGTTCTCAATGTATAGCGTTTTTTTTAGGAAGGAGCTTTCGAATGACTTTCATTTAGTATTTTATACATTTTATCATGGGAACTGCTTTAATATAACAATATTTGTTGTGCARTCTCTATCGGGTTAAAAATCAGACACCCACGCCCTTTTTCAAGACTTTCAGGATCTTTTAGGATTTATTTTAATATTTCTGACGATCATCCTCGGTGCTTTTAAACCYGGAGTCCCCTCMGGGGTCTTTAAACTATTATGYGGGTCTTTGCAGCCTGTGCCCTACACTTATGTTAACGGGCTAYTGTCTTTCTTTAATAGTATAAATTACATTGTAATAAAGAGGGGAAGAAATCAAGAAGCAGCATCTAAGCTCGTTGCTTTTTAATTGATCTMTAYCCACYAAACTGTGTTTAGTATAACAGAGGAWTGACGTACAAYCGTTGCAAATCAATTAACTCTAATCTTATTGGTTCAAAGGGGTACGGTCCATCACCTAGAGCAGCACATGCAGCTGCTAAGCTTCAATCAAGAGCGTATGTCTTTGGTGGTAGGTTCATGGTAAGAATGATGCATTTATTTAATAACAGTCGGTTTCATCTGAGCACAGGTAGCCCAAGCACTACACTTGTCGGCTTTTCTCTGAAGGTCTTGTGGGGAAAAACGAAAAATTCAATAAAAGTAGAAAATCTTCATAAAATGAATTCAAACTCACACAATATGTTGTTCTTAATTCATTACACGTCTATGCGAAGTTTCAGCTCTCTACAGTCAAAAAAACTGCTTTTTTCTTGATGTTGGTCCCCCTAGATAATAAATACTACAAGGAGGCGATGGCTTTTCGGAGTTACCAACCTTGTAGTGCTTGGGCTACCTGTGATCTGAGAACCTTGCTCCCAGTGCCACTATATCTTCATTGTCTACATTGCAGGATAAAAGATTAAATGATTTGCACTACTTAGACATTGATTCCTGGACTTGGAGTGGCAGGTATGTCATCAAAGCAGCGAGTATAACTCTTCCTAACATCCTCCCCTAGGGACCCCTTTTTCGTCCTCCATACTTACTTTGTTACGGTCGTATTGGCAAGAAAAAAGGCCCTGGGAACGAGGTTCAGCCAAAGACAGGAAGGCCGTCACTCATAATGTTGACTGTGAAAGAGTCAGCTAAACTCTCAACGTGCTTAGTCACAAGAAAACTATAGCTTTCGTCGTTATTCTATTCATAATATAATTCCACACCGCTCAACGACCAACTAGTTCAGCCCTCTTTCATACGACGTGTGAGATCAGACTTTTTTTCATTATTGTCGCGTTTTTGGTTTRCATGATAAATTTACGAATATTTTAATTCAACAGTCTTGTAACTACAGGGTGTGTCCCAGCTGGAAGGACTTGGCATTCGTTTACACGSATTAGTGACAAACATATTTTGTTATATGGAGGATTAAATAACAACAGACAACCTTTAGGTAATAYTTGTATCTCATGGTGTTCCAGGGGTGGATCCAGAAATTTTACAGAGGCGGGGAATTGTCGTCTTTGAAAAAATTAGAAAACGGAAATTCTTTTAGCAATACATCAAGAAATCTAGAGCATCGGACTTTAGGCGAGAAAAAAAAAAGGGGGGGGGGCGTTGATATTGATAATAGTGATTGGAGCTAAGTGAGAGAGGTGATTTCCTCACAGGCTAACCAAGCGAGTCAATTAAGTAATACAAAATTACATTTCTAAATCATGACGCTTCCCCCTCCTTTTTAGGTGATGCATATATTTTGGATATCAGCCACCACTGTTGGTCAACTATCACCCCGTCAAGTGATCCTTATCCCAGGTAAAATTGTTTGTCATGAATTGTATCCAGAAATACTGTGGAAATTTTTGAAAACGATCTTAAGAGTTTATTTTCATTGAACACTCTCAAGTACAGCAAAATAACAACGACGGATTGAAATGTCAAAACGTTGCAAATGTATTTGAAGTTTTAAAGTTGCTAATTTTCCATAAAAAATCTAAAACRCGACCGCACTGAATATCGGTTGATATATGGTCCTTATGGTCTTGATATATTTTGTCTGTTTTTAGAATGTGGCATACTGCATGTACAACCTCAATTCCTGGCGAAGTAAYCATCTTTGGTGGTTGCGCAACGTCTCTGCTGGAAGAAGCGCAACCCGTAAGAAACTATCACCTTTCCTTTAAAACGATTTTTGAGTTTGAATTGACAAGATGTTGATGGCACTTTTAACAATATCCTTTTTTCGTTAGTGTCTATTGCTCATAGTAACATATTCACCCATCATGTACCTTTGAATAAGGCTATGATGCAATGCCAACAATAGGGAATCGACCACTTTCAGAAGTGCCTACCACTGATTTCATTCAATTGGAAAAATTATGAAAAAAGCTAGACTACTTCAATAAGTCGGTTCTAGTTCGCTTTCGAGCGACAAATCGAAAAAAACGGCGTATGAAATCAATCCAGAAATAGAATATTAATATGCTGGTGTTTTGGAAAGATCTAAAGCCATGGATTAAATTTTAACGAAGTTATAAAATAGTGTCTGAAATTCTTTGCTGACGGCTTTTTGGCCTTGATTTGGTGTTTTTGTGCCTCTGCTAGCCAATATACGTRCATCAGGAGTTTCGGAGAATAATGCGTCCGGAATCTTAAAAAGTTCCTTAAAACACATTTCGTAGTTGCTAAGTCAACCAATCTATCATTATATCGTATTTTATTAACTTTGAATTAGTTTAGGAACTTTGGGTTTCTTTAGGATACTAATTKAGTGATTTAAGCCCCACTTTTCAAGATGGTAGTAGCATTGTTCTCTGAAACTCCTGAAGCATATATAACTTCGAGATAATTGAATATTTTCTGAGACTACGTTCAGAACTTATCTTTAGCTTTGATATCTATCATCTGGATATTCCTGAATGTCATTTCTTTTTCAGGATCATTCTAATAAAATAATTATATTCAGATGCACAGCTCTCCCATTACAAAGGTTTGTATTTTGTTATAACCTAGTAGAGTCGGTTATATAAGAGGTGGATGAAGTTATCTACTTTATAGATTTTGTATAGATTTTATCCAGTGGACAAGTACAGCCAGTCGCTGATTATGATTATTAGCCTGCGTAGCCAGGCGTTCCTAGCTGCTCCGAGAGAGTTTGGGCCTGAGAAAACGGTTATGTGAGAGGAAGTTATTGTACGACTTCCATATATGGCATGCCATATGCATGGRTGTGATGTACACAGGCATTGATTCATTATGTATTCAATCCTTTTACACGAGGTTATTCATAGAAATACAGGCTCACTTATCTCATAGCTTGTTNCGTAGGATTTTAAGCAGTGGTTCAAAATCCTACTACAAGTCGTAGGTTGCGTACGACTGTTGTAGACAAGTCGTAGGGGCATTTACACTGCGCGATTCAAGTCGTATACTGCAAGTCGCGCGCGACAAATCGTACCGTGTAAATCAGCCTTAAAAAAATAGATCTGAGGTCTTGGTAAATTTTCTAAGTTCTTTTTCACATAACGTGAACATGAGAGCTCTCTATTCTTGGTGTGCAACCACGTGACCAAGAATCCCCTGAGAAATAAAGAACAAAGCTATCGCCGCCATGTTGGATGAATGATCAAGAGAAACTAATGCATTGGTTTCATCCAACATGGCGGCGATGACGTAACTTGCACGCGAAGAATATGTGTATCAGCGCCGTGTACATGCACAACCATATATGGATATCATACGGCAGATCTTTCAATTCTCAATCGCACTAGTCCCCAATCCTAATCGAATCCATTTGAATTTAATTCAGATTTTCTTGGTTTCTTTTTCAGGCTATGTACCGATGCGGTCATGAAATATTATCAATACAATGTACAAAGCAAATTAGACAGCGATACAGTATCCTTACTTAAATCGATTGTATCTCCAGCGAGGCTGAGGAAACTAGCTCTTGTGTAGTGACAATCAGTCTTGTGWWRTGRCWATCAGTCTTGTGATGTGACMAKCAGTCCCTTCGACAGGATGATGTAGTAAACACATTGCTATGTAGTGTAGAAACGTTGTAAGGCTAGATCCAGTCTCCACAGTATGTAACGGTAGGCGTGGCAGAAAAAAAGCTGTATCTATATAGCCGACTTTGGATATTTTGGAAGAACCACGCACGAATGAATTATAATCTCATTAATTTCTCCAAAGCCTCGTCCTCGGCTATTTTGCACAGGGGCTATTCATCTAAAATATCAAAATTGGACTATTTCTTGACGGTTACATAGGTGGTGGGTGTGGTGGGTGGTGGGTGAAATGGGAGGGGGGGGGCATGACGACTCTGGTCCCTCACACTTGAAACAGCTTCACTGKTAACAGTTTCTTGTTTATTGCTTCACTTTAAGTCTACTGTTCTGTCGTGTTCTGGGATGCATTGTGCATCCTGGTCATATCTAAACTCTATAAATATAATCAATACAAATGACATCAAAATAAATACTTCTACTTATGACGTACCAACAACTGATGAATAAAGATGTCATAGTGGTTTTAAGACGTTAAAAAATAACATATTTGATGTGATATAAAAACCTCAAAATTACTTCAAACTAGTGCGAATAAAGACAATTTTTTTCCGCAAGTAAACAGTATCCGATGTTTCGGTGTCAAGTTGACCCCATTCATGGTGCACTTGAAATGAATTGTTGGAGTTTTAGATTGTTCCTTCGAGGAATAAAGGTCGTATTGGTCGACAAACGTGTTGCTTCTAGCATTATCTATTCTAGGTAATTGTCGACGTCTCTCACTTTGGTGTTCATGCTGTGATGGTTGCTTTCTAGAAAGTAACTTTCAACGTCACGTACACTATTTTGTTTTGTTTTGACCCAAGGAGTCCAAGTCTATTCTTAAAAATTGTGCAGAGTTCATTCCCGGCTTTGTTGAGTTTCCATTTCTTGGGGATCCGCTGCGAGAAATGGCGAGAAAAAAATGTCCTCGATGAGTGTTGTTCGTGAAGTGATAGAGAGACTGGTACGTGAAGAAGTCATTTTGCTCGTGAACCTCTCTCCACAAATTTCTTGTGTCGTTTTTCAACTGTGGAATAGTAAAGTGCGGTCAGCTGACGGCGTATAGGCAGGCGCAAATGTTTACGTTTTCGCTAATTTGCAAAAAAGTCAGAAATCGAATTTCAGGCCACTTGAAAATAAAGGAAAAGAGCTCATACCAGTTAGCAATTCCTGAAAATTTGAAGGAAATTTGCTTAAATAATTTGCAAGATTTTCTGAGAAAATGACCATGGTGGGCATAATGTTGCCAACCACTGAATGTTTGCTATAAATTTTGTAGTTTTGAAATGCCAATATATCGAAATGTTAAAAGGCGTTTGCCCTAAGATTTTTAGGTTTTGTTGAGAGTAATATAATCATTGAAAATATGAGTTCAGATTGCTTATTTTTTTTGAATTTGATATTTTGGATGTAAACAAACTACGTCATTGTACGCCTACCTATCAACAAAGTCATTAGTTGATGGATAAACCCTTCTCAACCTCCTTTTAAATATCGGTCAATTTTAGTGTGTGTACTTACCGTTGCACATAACCGACCTCTTTTGTTCATACCGATGTACTTCTTGGCTTTGAGTGCCAGAATTCGAACAATAGACGTTCCATAAACCTCCAATTTAAGTAAAGCTAACGATATAAATAAGCAGAAAATTAGAGATGCTGGGATCATTAGGCACGCGTTTATCACCTATATTGATAGAATATTAAGATAGCCCTTTAGTATGTGCTTCATCCATTGTTCTCGGCTTGTGTACTTTATAACATTATCCCTTATAGAGCAGAATGGAATAAGATCTGCCAGGAGAGTAAGGTATATTTTTAAAAACTACTGTGCTTTCCTCAATCCCTATATGCACGCGGGGCGTGTGAAAAAGGGGCTTCCTCTCTCGACATACGAACCCTTTGAAATACAACACTATTTCAAATTATGGAAATCGCATAATTTCTCTGAAATCAAGGATGTATGCCATCCAGGAGTTTTGACGACGTATGTGTAAAAAGGTCTATCTACTATGGCATTTGACAATACCAGGTGCGGACCCAGGGGGGTCGGATTGGGTGGCTAGCTATACCTCCTTTTTATTTAAAACATATATATAAAAGACTTAGTTTTGACAAAGAAATAATTARTTAACAGGATTATTGTATAACAGGAAATATGTATAATTATTTCGAAAAAAACCAGAGTGAGAAGAACTGTTTGATGTAACTGATGTTTATATATTCATAAATATTTTTCATATAAAAGTTTGAGTAGTCCGAGTAGTAGAAAAGTCCGAAATATTATAGGTGTGCCCGGGATAACGATAAACGATAATTTCACGTGAGTCTAAAGAGTCAAATTAATTGTAACGTACTTTAATATTAAATTTTAATGTTAGCCAACCCCCCCCCCCCCTCCCCTCTGAAAAATCATGGATCCGCCCCTGATATATTGTATAACATGTGTGCATTATTTTTGTACTCACCATGTTTGTCATTTATGGAAAAACCACCATAAACACTGCCATTTTTGAAAACTCCAAGTGATGATAATGACGCTTTTGATTGCAGTCGCACGAGTCTTGAGTTTGAAGGCGTAACAGCATTGCTTACTTTATGCGATCGACGAGCCCTCTTCAATATCGCGTTGTTTGTTAAGATTTTTGATAGTAGTCCATATCTTATGTCTTTCTTAATTTTATAGTTTTGGAGGAATATCCTTTTTTCTTGTACTAGTGAAATACTGCTGACCAATATGAATGACACACACAAAAGAGCGATCTGAATGAAGGATATCTGGAAGAAATTGTAGTATAAATTTACGATACACAGCAATATAGGTCAGGGAGAGGCCTAATCCGGGACCCAAAATCGCATTGAGCGACTTTGTGCGATTTTGGCAAAAAGTGTTATAAAAGCACAGTTGAAATTTTAAGCGATTTTGGGCCACTTTAGGCAATTTTCATTGATTTTGGGCGACTTCCAGCGATTTTAATGGGCTGAATGACTCAACTAAGAAGGAGCTATGGTAACAGGGTACTAGAATAAAATACATATTGCAACAATGACAAAGCTTTAAAACTTTAGGCGATTTGGGGCGATTTGGGGCGATTTGGGGCGATTTTGAGCGATTTGGGGCAAGAAAGAAAGTCTTGAAAAGTCTCAAGAAATGAAGTAGAAAAAAATTACGGCTTCATGAGGGCTCGAACCGCGAACCCCGTAATTAATACTTTGACACCGCCGTGAAAACAACACAACTGTTGAGCCTGGGCCCACTGTGGGACCACTGTGCCTCCGGACCATTAGTTATAGTCAGCATTACTTTAGTCCGAATATTAGAATTCAACGGCCGATAAAAATAACTTCCCGAAAAGAAATTCATTGACGAAGGGCTTCATAAGAATCCTTGGACATTCATGTTTATTGTGGAGCAGTTAAATGTGGACAAAAGTATGGATTTTGACAAAAAAATCGAGTGCAAGTAGAGTTACTGTTGGAAATCTTTGCGTGCAGTTTCCGACCTTGTATTAATATATAAGTAGGTTAAACAATAGCATATCAAAAATGGCGTAAAACCTMTTAAAAACGAAAGATTTTCAACCAGGAAGGTAAGAGACGTTTTATTTATGTTAGAATAATATTATTTAGACAAAAAAAAATCTGCGAACGACATATTTTATACTAAGTTATTGAGCCTGGGTTACCTGTGCAGGGACTTGTTTTGTTGTAGCTTTGTTATTGACAGATTAATTATTAATTGCTAAATGCTATTAATATATTAATAGGATAGATAATTGAAACCGGGGTCGTCTAAGACTCGATTACAATAGCCGATATTTTGGTTCGGTGACCATGCGCAAAAGAGTTCTTATAAACGAGGCTCTAGGGAAATATAAGAATAGGATTTTTTTTTCGATGAATCGAATACCATTCTTTTTGTACATGGCTACTCAACCAAAATAGCTCGAGGAAAAAACAGGTTTTTCCTGTTACAGGACACTGGTGAAAAACGCACTGCGCATGTCCACAGCTTTCCCGCCAGGAGGCGCTCGCGTCTTGAAATCTGTAAACAGAGCGCCTGGCGATTTACAGCGACAACACAGAAAACACTACGAAAACCTAATTTTCTCAAAATAGAAATGACAAGATAAAAATAGAAACTACATACTAAAAGGACCTATCATGAACAATGATTGATGGAAATATGAATCTTATATATCGGTGAAGGAGCTTATAAATTGTAAAAAACTTTCACAAAAATCACTTTACAAAGGAAATTAGGCAGATTTCAGCGGGAACAGTGGACATGCGCAGTGTGTTTTTCACCAGTGTCCTGTAACAGTACTTCACTAATCTATTTCCATTCCTTATTTAGTCATGTTAAACTGCTGATAAAAGTCAGCTTCAAAACTTTGAGCAGTAGCAATATTGCAATGCATGCTGGACACTTTGTTTTCTCCATTTTCAACCAAGCTATTCTTGGTTGTCATACCATCACGGCGGCCATTTGCTGCACGCCAAAACAAAGGAATATACACTGGTTCATTATTAGAGATTTTTGTTCATAAAAATGACTCAAATCACTAAAATTAGCTCTATAGTCTTTCTGCCGTGTCAAGGTAAAATATGCTTTGTGATTGCCAAGGTCAAACGATTAAAATCAAAAAAGTGGATTTTTTTTCCTTTTCGCGTTGGACAAACGACGGTTTACGCAGTTGGACTGAGCTGACGTCACTGCTTCCTATGGCGGCAACTCAGTCGTTTGCGATAGCTCCTAAAAAAACACTGACAGGGGTAGCCTGAGGTCTAATAGCACTAAACATATTTCGATTATGCGGTATCAAGTTGTATCGATATTGAGTATCTATTGCTTCTTTTGGTCGTATACAATCGCTAATCCGCCAATCCGCAACGTGAGCTGGGAATATATAGCCATAATGCGGTACGTGCATCTTAAAATTACTGCAATCTGATTGTCTAAAAAAGGACTGTGGCTGAGTGCAGACAATATGAGCGGGACAAAGCGCAATAGAAAACAAAGGAATTCGCGAAGTTTATAGATACTATCTATATGCACCATGATTTTACAAGTATAGTTTTTCACGGATTCAATAATATCACTCTTGATTAACCTTAACTTAGGATAAGTTGAGAATTTCAATTACGTAACTTTCAAATTTTCTGTTTATACTGAAAATTGCTTAAAAAACTGTACTGTAATCACTCAATGAATCATTTCCGTCGAGTATTGACTTGATAATGACACACCTCATAGAACTTCTTGAGTACAGGCATGCTTGATCTCTCATAATATAGCGGATTTCGTATGACTGTGCAAAAAACACGGTACTTTCGCTCCTTGACCGTACCGTGCCGTAGCGGTGATGTATTGTGAATCTTTATTTTTATTTGAAATCACTAGTAGAAGGAGAAATTCCGTGACCGTGCCGCGGTGCCCGTGCCGTTGCACAGTCATACGAATTCCGCTCTATACATTATGTATAGTGTTGTCATAAGCGTTGTTTGCACCACAATAGAAAGATAGCGATATACACATTCGATATTGTATTAAAAGTCCGTGAAACGAAATATCAAATAGGAGTTCTCCATTGAAAGCCAAAGCCTACTAAACAGAGTGGAGACCCTTGAATCATTTAGTAGCATATTTCGCTGTAAAGGCGTACTAAGTGCAATTAACCCCTCAACTATCTCCACTAGTTTGGAAATGGATGTTCAATAACATTATTCTCTTTTTAATGCCAGTAATTTCAATTCTTCAATGAAGACTCAAACTGAAGAGCTTCGGCATCAAACGCTCATTTAAAGTTTCCGCGCCAGACGATATTTTCTGCAGACCAAGGACAAGATGTTTCTCGAGATAGTTATTGAGTTCCTGTTTATGAAGTCGTATTTTTGATGGTGCAATATTCAGTGTTTTTTTGTGACATAGCATCGCATATTTAGAATAACTATTTTATGATTCGCGCAAACTGGTTTGTTTTTTAACCTTTTACACATTTAATTAGAAGAATCTAAAAGCTATGTTTTTTGTACTCTAGTCAAAACTTTACCAAAATGAGATTTTACAAATTATTCGCAAAAAGTCTTTATCCGGTAAAATTTACTGACTTTTGCAATTTTTACTGTTCTTTAGTGTGTATACTATAATCTATGTGAATGAGCTTTAGATTTGTGTAATTTTTGTTACTAATAATGTTTATAATAATGATAGGTCTTTATACCACAAATCCTATGTAACATGGGGAGAATTAACAAGGTAATACTAAAAAAATCAGAAAGCGGAAATTCAATTGATGAGGTAATAGAGATCTAAATTGCTTGGTTGTATTTTTAAAAAAGCTGAACTATTTACAAATGTAAATCTATGTGTAATGATTTGTGACTTCTTTGTACGTACGTAAGGCATATTTTGTAATTTTGGCCTTGTGCATAACATATTAGGGATGGCTTTGCGTTTTGATGTCGTTGAATGTTTTCTTATCGCAAATCTCAAGAAGTTCATAAAAGTGTTTTGTTGTGATTCAATCAGTCCGTAAATTTACTATTTTTAACGCAAAAAGGTGAACTTCTGGAGCAAAATGTCTTATGGTGATTGAAGGGACATTCATATCGCTATCTCTTTTAGTRYGAAGTTTGAACTTCACGATATTGRTATGAAAAGGTCAAAACCACACAGAGTGAGTYTTTTTGTACTTCAGAACTTACCTTATAAAATAAAACCATAATGTAATAAAAACAAAATATTCTTCCAAAGTGGTTCTTGGAMCTAGCGGAAGAGTTGTTGCTTCGACAATGAGTGACTTAAAATGTCAAAAACTCGTGCTTAAATAGGCTTTCTGGCTTCCTGAGATCAAAGAAAATCATGTGGACGCTGGCTTCAAAAAGCGGGGATTACGATCTGCTTCTTACAGCCTTGCACAGTCTTCCTTCCTWTCGAACCACTGGTTGTTTCCGAATTTATCAAAGATCTTTTAATGGCTAATCTCGACGGCTTTATTTTAAGCTAAAACTATATATATTACTGTAGCGGTGTAGTTATAGAATATTTGTAGTAAACCGATTTCAACAGTGCCGGTCAAGTACCTTAAGAATTACACTAACGATCGATATTTCCGTACATTTTTCGGCTCTTCGTAACATCACGAAATGTTTACGACTGTTTAACGACAAAATATGCAGACCAAATGAYGAAATCACTAATGAGTTTCACAGATATTTATGAATAACGAGAGATATACGTGATGACGAACGGCCAGTCGGCTTACGAAAAACAAACGGAATCCCCACGACATGTCTCCGATCAATCGGAAACGTAGTCGTAATCGCTCGTTCCTACGCTGTTTRTAATTGTTTATGTTTCTTTTGTGGTTACAAACAGCGATCTCCTCATTAAAGTGGAAGTTCGTGAATTTTCTTTCAAGGGCACAATTGACGTCTGAGGCTCGGTCGTTTAGAAATTCCCGAGCACTTGCCGAACACTTCCGATAGATAAACGAGGCACATGAAGCTAAAAATATGACATTCTTACAYGAGTTATTCTCTATATTTTCAATCTCACGAACCTCATCGTCGGTATTGGACACAGCTCATCGTTGGTATCGCCGGGTCGGAAAGTCATCGTAAGAAGTTCGTAAAGACGACTTTAATCGTGAGTGTGGTCCCAGTGATACTCTATAAGGTGATATAGCGTGATACTTAAATCCTATGATATCCTTCCCTTTGGTTTCAAGACAAAAATAGCATTATATTTCCGATCAAAAACACGAAAACAAAAT